CCCCTCCCGCTTTCCTCCCCCCCCCCCCCCCCCCCCCCCGCCCTCTGCGTTGTCAGCGAGGAAAGGGAGACCGGCACAGCTTGGGGGGGGAAGAGTTAAAGAAAGGTTTCCTACCCATGCATCGTTAAACTTTGGATGTGTGGTATTACTGAGTGACTAAGGGTGATGGGAAAGAGCTGACTTACTCTTCCTCATTGTTTTCTGACTGCCACTTAATGTTGCCATTGGAAAACCTGTTGGCTTAAAAAGTAGCAGATTCTAGTTCAAAATACTTTTTTTACCCTACCCCCTGTCAGGTGCCTTTTCCACCTGGAGACGGTGAGCATGAGATGGCTGGTGCTTCTTAAGATCGTAATCTTAGGTAGTTCGGGTGAGGTTTAGTATGTGTAAGAGAAACCACAGCCTTAAAAACACTCTTGGGATTTTCAGTAATCTGGGATCTCAAGGGCATGTTTCCTGAATAGTTTTTGTTTTAGTGTGGCACCGAGAGGAGGTAGCTGAAAGTGGAGCTCTGTTGTGCTTGGTCCTGTGCACGGGTGTAGCAAGAGATGATTCCTGCGGTAACAAGCATGCAGATGAAATAGGGAAGAAATTCGGAGGAGGTTGTTTATATTTCCAAATATTTTGCAAGGATTTTAAACTATAACAAGTATCAGAAATGTAAGTAACAGTTATTTCCTTTCCCCTTCCTTTTATGAAGGGCACAGAAAGAAAGACTTCTTTCCAAACCCTAAAGCGTAAGTCTTTGTTTTAAAAGCTTTTGCAATTTCTGGCTTAGGCTAATAAAAAGGTATTATTTTAAGACACTTCTACAGATCCTTGACTAATGCAGCATTGCAGATGGACTTCCTTGTACAGGTACTACTATAAAGAATAATGGTTGTGGCTTTTCTCCTTCCTTTGCAGTAATTACTGCTGTATAAGGGGAGAGCTGATGTTTAAACAGCAAAAGGAAAAAAAAAAAAAAAGAAATTGTTCACTCGGGTCTCCAAGAAATGAAGACGCTAATTATTTCTCAGAAATGGAATAGATTTTTCCAGCTGTGTCTCTCTTATCAAGGATTTGTTTGGGGTTTTTACAACGGGGAGTGAATGAGTAGCATGAAGTTTTATGACTAGAAGTAGAAGTAATGCCTGACATTGGAAAGGAACAGGGAGAAGCTATATTGCATCTCTCTACTGAGAGATTCTGTATTACATCTCTCTATTTTGTCAATAGTAAAACTCTTCTCCTCGTGTTGGTCATAGCTGCTTTTTTTCTGCATGCCTCTGAGAGAAATATTAACCAAGAATGTTGGCAGAGGGGTTTGCTGGTTGGATATAGTAACTGGAACAACTTAACTCCTGAGCAGTTGACAAGTCTCAGGCTGACTGACCTTCTAAAATACTGGAGCATGAAAATAAATGAACATATGAATGTGGCTTTCAAAGCCAGACAGACAGGCGGTGTCAGATACTGTTACCAAGTCCTCCCTCCTCTTTTTTTTCTTTTAATTAAAAAATAAAAGCAAGGAACTTTAATTTCCAGTGTAACTAACTGCTTAAAGATATGCTTTTCAATTGGGTGTGTATGGTTATCCTTGTACCAAGGAAAGTCCAGGGCAAGACTTCACTGCTGTGTTTTGCTGGTGCTGTTTTCAGCTCTGTTTGCCTCGGGCAGGCAGACCTTTATGTACTTACATAGGAATGAAATGTGCATTAAATTAGCTGCTTTTTAAAGTAAACACCTCTGCTTTGTGCTTCAGATATCTTTTGCCCTCCTCCCTATACCAGCACAGCAGTCACAAAAGGAAACACAGAAAAGCAACCTAGGATCCAGCTACGAGACTGTGACACAGCTGTACTGGGGCTGAAAATTATCTTGCTGTCTTAAATACTTTGTAAAACAGGATTTGGTTCACCTTTGCCATGACTGTAGCAGTAGTTACATAATGAAACCCTAAGCCCCAGTGATGCTACACCTGTAACAAGACAGAAGTTGACTAATTACAGAGGAGTCAGTGCCTGAAATTGTTTATGTACATTTCATGTTTTTAAAGTGTTGGCTGTCATAGATAGCACCACCCTGATGTTAACAGGGGAGATTTAAAAAGAGTAACTTTAAAGGAATTGGACACTTGTTGAAATTTGCATAAGGACATTTGAAGTCAGAGGAGACCTCAGCCATCACCTGGATGTGTTTAAAGCCCCATATAATACTGGACTACACAGTTCTGGGTATCATACGTAGTGTTGCCGCTGAACAGATACTGGTCTTCAAATCTCTACTGGATAGTCCCAGTGAGAGCCGCCTTGTCATTGGATATGATGTTAATCTAAAGAAAAATATCTACTTGTCACTGGCTGTAGTTTTATTTTTAGTTGGGGCAGGGAGGGATTCTGTTGCTGTAAATGCATGGGAAATGTGAGTACTTCAGGGATCTTTCTCTGGTGGTTTGATCAACAATATTGAATATGAACCTTTGCCACTGGCCTTTGCTTTAGGCAACAGGATTCAGCTGAACTCTTGTTGATGTAGTGAACGGGGAACAGAGTTTACTTGCAAGGGATAAGGCAAAGACTTGTGAGAACATGCTTCACAGTTTTTTCCAATATAAATTCTGTCTTGAGGGTGGACCAATGTGCTTAGCATCATCAAATCCTGCATTGGTATTCCACTGTCTGTTTTAAGAAGCAGCATTTCCCAGACGCTGCAGAGAGGATGATGAGGTAATGATGATCTAGGCTTCTGCAAAAGGTGTGTTGGCTTAGTTGTTTTCAGTAGGTAACAAAGTTCTAAAGTGTGGGGCTGTTCTTGAAAATCCAGAAAGATCAGTTAAGAATGAAGCACAGTATCAAACCCTCTTTTTCTGGTATCTTGAGGCTTGGATTAACGTGGTCAAAGGTGTGACCTCAAGTATTGTTTCTGAGCAAAGCATGATTTGGAGAATTCAGTGTAGTAATTGAATTATTACTTAAGCGATGAAAATGTTGGTTTGTGATTGTTTCCTTTCTTTTCAAGTGGTTGCTACATTTAATTTGAGATCCAATTCACCAAACTATTTAAGCATGTGATGAAATATCCTAGTGAAGTCAGCTGGATTTAAGTTTTACTGAATTGGTGCCTTGCCCATCTAGTTCTTTTAAAAACTTATATACACAGGATTAATTATTTCACTGTTGGCAGCTCTCGCAAATTCTAGTGTGAGTTGTATGAATGACATTCAGTGTGTTCCTTGAGGCTCCAGCTTCCAGATTTAGAGGACTGAGAGAATCTTTGTTTTTAGTGTTAAAACTAACAGATTTTGTAGCTCTCCAGCCTGTAGAGGAAAGTTTGAATTGTCACAAATGCACCACAGAAACCAGAAAGTTTAAAACACAATATTGGGGTCACTTACATTAAATTCTCTTGAATTCTGGGTGTTTCACATGGCTGTTGGCACTCTTACTACTTTGGTTGTAGCTGCATGACTGTCCTGGGCTGCCATGCTACCATGGGAGTACCCCGAGTTCCCACTTTGCTAAACATTGTTCAGATTTACATGACACCTGTTCTGAAAATCTCAGTCAGAATTTCTATCCAAGGAAGTGTCTATAAAAATGCTGTTGGCCAGGGTCTTGTCTAGAGGACCATACTGTCATAGGCTGGGGTGGTTTTTGTTGTTGGTTTTTTTGTTTGTTTGGTTTTTTTTTTAATGGTCAGCTTTCTATTTGCTGGCTGTACTATGGTGGCAGTCCATCTCTAAACAAGGGCAGAAACATATTCTGGTTACTGGATGTTAAATAGCCATGACTATTTTGGACGGACAGGATTTTTCATGAGCAGATAAGGAACGTACATCATAGTAAAATGCATTAGCACATTATCATAAGCATCTACGCTTATGATATGGAGAAGAAAAGTGCGAATTTAACTGTGTTGGCCAGTTTTGGTTTGCCTTGGTTCCTAAACATCAAGTGTTGTTGATTGTTACTTCAGTTTTGTTTTGACTCTATAAGAACAGCTTACAAATTCACTGTCTGATTTGGGTTTTTTATGTGCTGTAAGCAATAGCTCTTCAGCCATCCTGAGTGCTCCTAGGGTTAACTTGCCTGTAAGGTTGTCACTTAGTCTGTTCTTCTACCAGAAAGCTTAAATCTTGCTGTGTGTCACAAGAGTAGGACATGGGTTACCTCTACAGCTCAAGGATTTAATCTGTATGTCATATATTGAAGGAGATAAGAAGAATTCAGCTGCTGATAGCTCTGTTCATAAGGAGGAAATATGCCCACCATACTGGATCACTTAGTTTTGAGGGGGTCTGTAACAGCAGTGGCTCAGTGAAGACATGTCATGGGCCAGTTGGTTTTGTTTAGCTGTGATCTTGTACAGCAGGTTCAAAGGTATGTTGCAGGAGCACTTAATACAAGGGAAAATTCGCCAGGTTTAGACACAAATACCTGGCCTGTTTTGGGAAGCCCTGTGGTCTCTGGACTACAATGTGCAGGAATCTGAATGAATTCCTACACTCTGCTTGCCTTGTTTTACATACTCTTCCCTTAGCATCTGCTGCTGTCAGAGGCTAGTAGAGATACAGGTCTCTAGTCTGCCCCTGTACCATCCTTTTTATAAAACCTATCCCACAGTAGCACTTTGAATGACCTCAGAGTACTTTCAGATGTTTTTTCCAGATGCTTAACTCTCCAAACTCAAGCACCACCATGGAGTCAAAGATGACTGACGGTGTGCGCACAGCTGAGTGTGTGCATTGGTCTGTCTGTATACAGCTGACAGATTAAACAAACCTTGAAGTTCACTGGCCAGTTCTTCTGTTTTGGTTGTATCACTGAGAAATAGCTGTTTAAACAGGCAGAGTGTGTGTGATGCTCGGAGTACTGTCTAGGCTTAGAAATCTAGCTTAAGAAATGGTTCGTGCAAAGAGCGTTCTAGAAATTGTATGTATAGTGAAGGGAGGGAGAGACTGATATTGCGCCCTTTTAAAAATGTATGAGAACTTTCTAAAAATTGTTGACTCTACTTACCTTAAATATATTGTGCAGTAAATGGCGTGATGCTGTCTGTTTGCTGGCTTTCGGCTCCTGGCTTATGTAGTGGTTAACTTTTAGCCTCTAAATGTCTTCCATTTTTGTGGGATTGATCTTTTTGCCTATTAAGCTAGTCTTCAAATAGGGTTGTTAATAAACAATTTTTTCAGTCTCCTGCTACTACAGAAACAGTCCCTTGTAAATGCTAACATTGAACTTCAGTGGAGAAGTAATTTTAGTCAGCAAAACTATAAAAATACTGTTTTTAAAAGGACAGACTGCACCTTATCTTTGATGGCAACTTAATACAGTCTCTCTGAATTATGTGCCTCTGTCAAAGCAAAATTAAATCTTTGGAGGTAAAATTCAATGTTAACTTCAGAATATTTCAATTTCTTCCTACTACCCTCTGACAAACAGGCATGATATGTGAATTGTATCATTTTAAATATCTCATGAAGGCTAGCTCTAGTGTAACCGAGAAGTCATTTCAGCTGATAGAATCACAGTTTCCCTAAGATGCCTTTTTGGTTTAATATTTGGGATCTTCTCTCTAAATAGTACTGTTCCTGTCACACTTCTGCACTCTTGTATCATGGTCTGATTTTTTTTTTTATTTATTAATCCCTAATGGTACAGGCACACATCTCTTAAACCAACCAAAAAAATGCCTGCTACAATACATTTGAATAGACCAAGCAACAAATCCTGTTGTGAGCAACTTTCATATTTAATGCATCTCTGAAGGTCAGGAGGAACAGCTGCCTGTCATCCTGCTGTTCTTGCTCTCTCTGAGAATGGTTACCTTATTTTTGAACCCTTGCTTGTTACCTAAGCAATCCTACTGAAACAGGCAGTGGGGTCTTCTTGAAATTCGTTAGATTCTTGGCTATTTCTATCTTAAATCCACCAAGTCTTTCACTTAGAGGGGACATAAAAAGGATGAAGGGACTTGTATGTTAGCTGTGGTTAGGAGGGGAATTTGTAAAGCATGCTGTGTGTATTGCAGCAGTGCCGGGCAACCTCACAACAGCTGTAGCTGCACTAGGCACTGTACAAATATGTAGGAGTTTCTCCCTTAAAGCATAAAAAACACAGCAAAGGGGAGAAGAAATAATCTATGTGAATGGGTTATGATCTTATTGATGTGTACCCTTGGAGTGTTAAAGATGATGTGAAAGACAGAAGCCCCTTTCTGCAGGCTCACAGGCTATCACACCCGCTCCCGAGCTTTTCTGAAATGAGTAAAAGCTCCAAAAAAGCCATGGCTTACGTGCAAAAGCAGAACCAGTGCCATAAGGCTTGCTACTTGATCTTGTGTGTGTGGCTCTCTTAACTGGTTGCAGTCACTGTCTTTTATTCATTGTTCAGGAGCTTTGTGAAACATCTGAGCTTGAACTCCAATATGAGTAACAGGAGCTTGCTGGAAGCAGTTATTTGTTGTTATTTAGAACTTGTGGCTTTAATGTTTATTACTACTGAATCTGGGTGTTCCTGCTGTCCTGGATGCAGATAGCCCACTATGAAGCTTAGACCTGGTTATGCTAAGGTTTTGCTGTTGGAGAAAGCAGAACAGTACTCTTGAATACTTCCTGCTCCCTCAAAGTTTTGCCCCATTGATTGATTTCTTGGTAACTTGGATTAATATCTTCATTTAGTTAGTCTTTAAATGTAAGTCTTGTGATATCTATTGTAATCTGGAGCTATGACCTCTCATAATGTAGTCTATAAAATATTCACAAACAGCTAGAAATCTAGTAGTTATCTATAATACATCACTGAGGGACTGAACAAACATGGCATATCCAGTTTCTACTGGAGACAACTGGATAAAAATTGATGCTGCAGCTTAAAAATCCTGTGGAGAAATAATACTCACCTTATGTTGGATGTCGGTAGGAGTACTCACCTCTTGCTGGTCCCTCCTTGGAAAAATATTCTTTTCCATCTGAACATCACCTTGGAAGTCATGGGATGAAATGTGAAGTCAGTGGGAGTTTTCTGTGAATTTCAGAGGTGTCAAGATTTTCTCTGATAGTCTTGCCCTCTAAAAATGAGAGATATATAGATATATGTTTTTGTGTGTGTGTGTGACTTTGTGTGTAGCATTTCAGAGGAGTCAAGATTTTCACTGATAATGTTGTCTTCTAAAAATGATACATAATTTCTTGTGTGTGTGTTTTTGTGTGGCTACTCAGTGCCACAGGGTTTGTTGTAGATGGAGCTGCTGTTGCAGGATATGTTCTAGACTCAGGCTGCTCTTTTCTGGTTAGGCTTTCTGCAGTGTAGTGTTTTGGTTTGAGCCTGGGTACATGGCACCCAGAGGTACAGCAGCTGCTGCAGTGCTCTTATGTCTGCCTGTCCTGTGATTCTAAAAACCAGGACCAAAAGCATGTTTCTACCTCTGTGGTATCACTTAAAGACCATTATCCTGAGGATGCACTGTATCTTTTGTAGCTAATGTTATTAATAGAAGAAAGGAAGAGCGTTCTTCCTATGTAAAAGCAAGGGTAAATCTTAATTGTTAGACCTAATGTTCATAAGAAAGGCTATCAGATGCTTTAATTGTGGCAATCCAGTGCTCTGTTCACATGGATTGTGCTTCCAAGACTTGCTGGACTGCAGCCTAGCTAAATTGTGTGGGAGCCTTTGCCCAGACACATGTTGGTGCTATGGCATAGATGACGGAGCGTTCCTATGTACCTCTGGTAATGTCATAGCCTTCTCCTGGGAGGAAATGATCAGCGGGATGGAATTGTTGCTCAGTATTGGCAGATGTTATCTCACTGCTATGAAACGCTAATCAGCTTACCAGGAGGCTCTGGTTTCTCAGCCCTCAGCTGACGGGTAGGGAGGAAGGAGAAATAATCCAATTGAATTGGAAATGCAGACTTGACTTTGCTTCTCATGTCGCCTCTTGAACCATAATAAAGGGAGAAGCACTTGGGAAGCAGGTCCATCTCATTTCATTTGTACAGTGTCAGGGTAGTGGTATCCAGTTCCCAGCTGGCTGCATATAATGTGGTACCTCAGAACCGACTGTTCTGAGGAACGCATCACTGCTGTTTCCTGATCACAGGCAGGGCGGGTGAAAAGATGGACTGTTAAAGAACAAGGCAATTTCTTGTTGCAAAGGATGTTTTAATGTGTTGGAGAGAGAAAGGAGCTAGGTTCTACTTTCTACCCACCCTCTGTTTGTGCTGTTAGTGCACAAGGATGACTTTTATCTTTGTGATACTTTGAGAATGAAGGTAGAAATTTTGTCAGAGTGTTTTGGGAGATGATGACAATTCAGAGAGGTATTACAGAACTGAGCACTAGGATGGCTTAAAAAACTGGGGGCTTTTGCTCCAGTAAGCGCTGGTGCATGTCTGTTCCAGTAAGTGTCTTCCAAATGTACAAGCACTGTTTCTTCATGGCTGAGTGAAATAAAAGCTCTGTAGGCTTTAAAACGCAATTTTGCTATGTAATGCAATGGTGCAAAAATGGCACCAAGCCCTGTTCATGGATCTTTCACCAAAAATAGTTGGCATAGAGCTGCTTCAGTAACACACGAGTTAACTGCAGCAGTGTTAGGAAATGAACTGGATTTTGTTTCCCTCATGATCTGATAAATAGAATTCTTGTCTAAAAGCTAATAAAAGATGAAGATATGTGGACTGGGTCAGTTGGTATCTCAGCTGATGGGATTTTATTACTGTTAATGATGTGTCATAATGGAAAACACAAACTGAATCTGTAGGACAGGTATGTGTGCAGGGTCCATGCTTGTAACTTGACATCTGGTTTGGAAGCACACGAGATGGGGTACAGAACCTTGATATGTTGTATTTTTAAAGTCACCTTTTAGAAGACCAGTTTTTTTAAAAGGTGCCCATAGGTGGTAGATGTGTTCCAGAGCATAAAGATAGGCCCCTTATTAACTTGTGTGGGATCTTTCTTTACTATTTACTTTCCACTCCTTTTTCAAGTATTTTAAAAACCAGATTTCAATGTAACACATTGTTCTCTGTTTTCAGAAATGAATAAAGCTAGCAGCCCTACGTAATACGCTGATGGCATTCTACGCTGCATCGGGATCGATAAGTCAAGAGAGTGTGATGCCTAGAAATCTCCTCTCAAATTCTCCTGAAATGGCATCTGAAATCTCTCCAAAGCACGTGTGTGGGAGCATGGAGAGGGCTGGCAGTGTGGAGAATCATGGCAGCCAAGTTAGGTGCAGAAATCTTGCCTTGGTAAGTGTTTAATGAGCCTTATGCTTAGTGATACAAATTACATTAGTAGCTTTGTTCACATCACAGGATTTTTTTTATTTATTTATTAAGCATTGATTTTTGCCATTTCTATTACTAAATGGTTGCTTTTGGTCTTGGTTGTTAACAAACCGAAAGGCCAGAAATAACTGCTCTGATTTGGTACAACAGCTTGTTGTTCTGGTCTGATTCTCTCTGAGAGCTTGGGGAGTGCTTCTTTCTGGACACCTCTCCCAGAGAACTGAGAATGGCAGTAAGGAGCACACATTACACTGGGCTACTTGGTGCAACCACCTGCTTGTGGTGCACGTTTCTGCCCTTGCTTTCTTAAGTAGCTTGTAAAGGAACTTAAGGATAGTGTTTGTTCTATATGCTGTTTCTTGCTTAAGCTCTTTGTTGACACTGCTGAATGAAGGTCTTGGCTTATTCCACCTTCATATAATTAGGTGAGTAACAAATACATCACCATAAACAAAGCTGTCTTGACATTAGTGAATATGACTGTGTGGCCATTTAAATAGTATGTGAGTAATTGAGGGAGTAGGATGTACTTCTGCATTTTTCCAGTTAGCAAGATGATTCAGGCAATTAACTCAACAGTAGTGTTTGTACTGTGACAGGCTAAGCCTAGAAAGCAGGTATGGTTCTTTGCTTTTTTTTTTTATGATCACAACCATTTGAAAAGCATCCATTTTTAATTGAGGAAAGAGCATTCTGGTAAACATGCTTTCCCTAAATGGAAATCTCAATTTCTGTCTTGCCTTAAACATGGGATTAGGCTTTCTGTATCTTTGCCCTCCCTGCTAGCTTCCTTGTAGTGAAGTAGTTTTCTGTGAAGGAGTAAGTGCTGAAAATAAGTCAGCAAGTTGATACCTGTATTTATATACCTCAGAAATGCTCAATGTTTTTGTGCTACTTTGTGAGCTTTTTGGCAACTGGAGGTAATTCTAAAGATGTTCCTTCTTGGTTGTTTCTAATGAAAATACAACTCTGTTAATACTATGCTGTATCCTTCAGCTTGTGTTGCTAGTTAAAACACAAAACAAGTATTACTAAATTTAGTCCCTTAACTGTTTCTGACCTGCACTAGAAAAAAGTTGTGAAGCGTCAGGGTAGGTGAGGTCCAAGAGCATAGCCAAGTACACCTTTGGGACTCAGGTCTTTAGAGTATGTTGTTTATTATATGAAAACTGATTGGATCTTATAGAATTACAGTGGGAGTTGCACTTTGTTAAAGAATTACAGCTTAATTTTATGCAGAATTACAAGGTAATTTTATGGATTACTCTGACTCCAGTTTTCCAGGTTCTCAAGGTAGTAGCCAATCATGTTTCCGTGGGTTTTATTCTTAGCTGCAGTAGCAGGCATGAGACTAGTCATTTGAAAAAAAAATCAATATTGAATAATGAGGCTATGTATAAATCAGTATGTTTGTACAGTCTTATCGTCAGTCGGCCATGTCAGAAAATGACATAGATTCCCTTAGTCTAACTAGATCTTACCATGTGATAACCCATATGATGATGCATTAGCTAGAATTGGAATCCCACTGTAATGCAGTAATTTATAGATGGAGTAAAAGCTGGCTGCAGGTTTAGGCATTTCCCATCAGACCTGTGCATCAGCAAAAGAAGTTCCCAAAGCCTTTAGTTTGTCTTATTTGAATTTGTGCATGAAGAAAGTGAAGCATGTACCAACAAGTTTACAGATCCCCTTCCATGACTGTTCTTCCAGCATAGTAGGTGGCATGTGCAGTAAGGCTGACAACTAGCATGCATGAAGTAACAGGTTGGGGAATGAAAACTCTTTTCAGTGAAGGTATAATTTCAGTTTATGAGTTTGAGAAGGGGTCTGTGTTGATCTGAATATGAAGGAAATTCTGAATAGTCAAGTCTTCGGTGCTGCTCAGATCTTTCCTTTTTGTGATCTGATGTAAGAAAAGAGTATTGTTCCACTGGCTGATACCTTTTGTCTGTTCAGCACTGAAAGAGGCTTTAAAAATCCTCAGGATGAAAAGCGGTATTCTTCAAATATTTCTTTTTCTATATCCTTGTGGAATTGTGTATTAAAAGCATGATTTTTACAGTCCACTAAGCAGATCAGGGAATTTGTAAGAGGAAAGCTAGTTGCTGGAACATGCTCCTGGACACCTTAACTTCTTGTTTCAGTGGTTTTGTTACAAAAGTTCACAAGATGCAGAAGATTTGGTGGTGTAATGAGAAGGAGGGGATAGATAACTCTGTGTAAACGAAGAATTTGTTAGACCAATTCTGAGAAAGGAAGGGGCAGATTTTCAGGCACACCGGACCTTCATAGCCCTGAAACAGAAGCAACTACAGACATACCTGCCTCTTCGTTATCACTTTTCTGGGTCTGTTCACCTAGAGACGCAAAAAAGAATGCCAGAGTCAACTAATTTTTTTTTTTTAATGGCCTTGCAAAGGGAAGAAGCGTAGCAGTGCTTTTTATGACAGGCCTGTACTGCTGCAGGTTTCTTCCTACTTGATTACAAAAAAGAGGCTCTTGAGCTTCTTGGTGTTAAACTACATTAGTCACTAAATATAACCTTTGTGTTGCATCTGTGGAATTCAAACAAACCTAGAGATGTGATAATAGAGACAAACACTTGGACCGGCTTCAGCCTATGCTGACTGCTTAGAGCTGGTTTGGCTGACTGCTGGCTGTTCTTGCATACTGTATGTCTGTGCTGGCATTACTTGCTGTGGAACTGGTTGTTGTTTTAGGAATGACTAGGAGATGGACATGAACTGCCATGTGCCTAAAAGGTCTTAAAATTCTATGTGTGTGATTCTTACCAGTCAGCTGTTGTCAGTTCAGTTTAATTTTGCCAGATTTCTCAGCTTCTTACCTACACAATCCTGCTTTTAGTTAATCTTTGACAATTGCGGTCCTTAAAGCCATGTTTGATTTTTTCTTTTTTTTTTTTTTTTAAATGGAAAGCAAGGTGCTCATGTCCTGTCTTGATTGCAGTAGAATTTTCCATATAAATGATGTTTGGGTCTAGATTTATGCTGCCAAATTTATCACAGCAGCTGAAGACAAGTACAAGAGCCTACATTTGGATGGGAGGAATGTTTGCCTTGATATTTTCATCTCATACCATCACCTAAAGCTGTTTCCTGCCCCCAACTTTTCTCTGTATCTTTTAACCATAGAAGCTCTTATATATGAGGACATGAATCTGCACATATATTCTGTTTTCTTTTCAGTGAAGGTGGTATCTATACACATGCTTGGCAAAAGCATGAGACAAGTGTACCTTCTTGATATGTGAAATTAGTTGCACTATCCAAGGGGGAGGGTAAACAAAACCACTCTGTTCTGCTTGGTAATTCTGACTTCCAAAACCCATTCTTGAATGACACTCCCTGATATGTGGTATAAGAATTAACTTGAAGTGAATACAGTTGCAGCAATTTAAGGACACTTAATTCAGAGATAAAACTAGTTCTTAGCTTTTTTTGAAGCAGTTGGTCTTGTTCCATTGACTGAATAGGCATAAACTGACTTCTTAAAGCCAATCCTTCTTTTTCAGTGCTTCGCTCTCGTAATTGTACTGTATATCTATTCTCAGCCATGAGTAACTGCTTTAGTTTCTAGGTGTGAATAACATGCTAGGACAATAGTATCACCTGTGAAAATCATACCAGAAGGAGCAGGTTATACCTAAAGTGAGCTGTGCTACTTGGAACTGCACTAGTAATAAGCTGTGTCAGTGCCCTGGATCTGTTGATAGGACTTCAGTACTATACCTTCTGTATATGAACATGTCTTGCTGAGTGACAGGTTTGAGGGATAGTGAGTTCTTGTTACTCTCAATGGATCACGCTGTGGGTGTGGGTTTTTTTGGTTTTTGTTTTGGGTTTTTTTTGCCTTTGGTTCAGACAGATCCTTGGTTAATGATGCAGTTAATCACCACTCTTTTTGGGGCAGTGGTGACCTCCAGAATTTGGTCAAGTGACTATTTCTTTTGGTCACTAATCAAGTGGCTTAAATCAGCAGATGGCCGTGATTCTAAAAAGATGCCTTGATTATTCCATTTGTTATTTCTTCAAACAAGCTTCCTCTGTGGCTCTAACAAGACTTGATACACAGTCACTGAAGATGGCTTCTCACTACCAGACACCTTGTATAGTACAGGTGACATTTTGAACATTGGTTACACAGACAAGAAGAGCAAGTATCTTGTGAGTAGTCTGAGCTAGCTCAGTATCTTGTTTCACACACTCTGCCATTTAACTCGGGGTTGACCTGGTTATTTTGTAGTTATGTTGTCTCTTGGAGCCTAAAAATTAGTTGCTATGACCTTTGTCCTTTTTGGATCGGTACAGATAATTCAAATGCAACAGGCCTGGTCTTCCAAGTGCACCGTGTTACTATCTCTTTGCCCCAGCCTCTCTGAAGAGATCCTGGGATTCCAGTGTGGTTTTAGGAGTTACTGGAAAGGGACAGGTTGTGCGTCTGTGTCCTGGTTTCAGCTGGGATAGAGTTAATTGTCTTCCTAGTAGCTGGTACAGTGCTGTGTTTTTGAGCTAGGTATGAGAAGAATGTTGATAACACACTGATGTTTTCAGTTGTTGCTAAGTAGTGTTTATACTAAGTTAAGGATTTTTCAGCTTCTGATGCCCAGCCAGCAAGAAGGCTGGAGGGGCATAAGAAATTGGGAGGGGACACAGCCAGGACAGCTGACCCAACTGGCCAAAGGGGTATTCCATACCATGTGACATCATGTCCAGTATTTAAACTGGGGGAGTGGGGGCAGGGGGATGGCCACTCGGGACTAACTGGGTGTCAGCTGGCAGGTGGTGAGCAATTGCATTGTGCATCACTTGTATATTCTAATCCTTTTATTATTACTGTTGTCATTTTATTAGTGTTATCATTATTAGTTTCTTCTTTTCTGTTCTATTAAACTGTTCTTATCTCAACCCACGAGTTTTACTTCTTCTCCCGATTTTCTC